AATCACTAATAAGACGCTAAAGCTGCTTTAGCGAAAGTCCTTCATTTGTTTCGTGACAATAATCAATACCACGCTAAGGAGCCATTACTTCCCATCGGAAGACTGGTTATAATGATTCTAAAGAAGTTGGGTTAGATATTTCCCCAGGATTATCATCCCATTAGCCTGCTGTTAGCTCCATCTAAGCTCGATGAAAAGGTCAGATCACCATGTGATTCCTGACGTGCAATTTGGCTTTCGGCCTGATCAGAGTACGGAGCTACAGGCGGTTAGGCTTGTGAAGTGAGTAACCAGGGGCTTCACCTTTAACAAAAGTACTGGCGTTTTGCCTCTGGATGTCTCGAAATCATTTGACAACGTGTGGTACAAGCTAATCCAAATGGACTATTGGCTCCTGAAACTTTTGAAACCGTCTTTTGAAGGTAGGAAATTTTAGATTAAAATTAGTAACGTCTTGTCGACAGAGCGGTCTACCAGTGCCGGTATCCTTCAGAGTTCGGTTCTCGGACCAATATTATATTCATTTTTCACTCATGACGTCCTTTACCCCAGCGACTGTGAAGCCTATCTACGAGTATATGGCGATGACACAGCATGGATGGCCCAGTCGACTTCTGGTATACGACAGGTTACAAAGTGCGACACCCCCTCTGAGGCTTCAATGAATAGAGATCGTGTGTAATGGGAAATTTCTGTCAAATATCTTGATGTTACTTTTAACCAAGTTCGAAATTACGTTTCGGTAACTCTACCCTATGCTATGTAGATCCTCAAAATTACTTATTACACTTATGCATGTGCAGCATATGGTTTTCATGTCTTGCAGGTTCTGCAGAATAGAACGTTGTGTACTGTTACTAACGCCCTATGGTATAGTATGTCTCCAACGAGCAAGTTCGCAAGCACACGAAACCGCGGCTTGCACTGTGAGTAAAGTTAAATCGTGCAATTCTAGACCCAACTAAACTTAAAATTTTTCCACATAGACAAATTCCTAAGTTCACTTTAGATCAATTTTAGGTTACTGAATACTAGTTAACAATGTCAAGGTACCCCTCCAACAGACGCACTACCTCCTGCTCTTCCCTCTTCCTTCCTTTCTATCCTATTCCCTGCTTTCTCCCTGGCTTTATCTGGTATTAGACCGGATAGACCTACTGACCCATAATACTTTAAGCAAGAACAAAGGTGCCACGGACCGCTCTGAAGGACTATGACAAATAGAAGAAGGACCATGCAACTAGATAGGTACTATGTAAAATAAGTTACAAACGTTATGGTATTTTATCATACATTGTGTTAGTAGTTAATAGTGAACTTTGTTTTAGAAGGTTTTTGGTCTCATACGCGTGGCACCTCAGGTTATTATAGTTAATGGTATGTTAGTTAATAACCGCCCACTTTGGAGAATCAGACACTTCGGGCAGGAAAGACCAATATTGTTGAACTTTCCTGCCTGGGAGTGGCTATAAAAGTTTTCCGCTGTCAAAAACAATAAATAAATACTGGCCTACTTTGCACTAGGTATGTAGTGTACTATTGTAATTCATAGCAATTGAAAATGTTCTATATAACTTCTCCTCTACCAAAACGTGTTTTGTAGAAAAGTTCGCTTTTTCACTTGTGTTTTGACGTTTTCAAGAAAACCTATTTTCATTTAGATATGCCTTTGCCTACGTATTGTCTAACGTATTGTCTACGTAGTCTCTATTCTCTAGAACAAAATCTCGAAGTAGGAAGGCGTGCGCCCTCCCTAGACGCCCAAGTCTGCCATTTTTTTTTCATTTCATTTGATCTCAGAAGCGATGCTTAAGCGCTCTTCAATTTCTAATGGTCTATAACGCCCCCCTCCCAACAATATTGCAAAAAAAAACTGTTCAAATGTTCTAGCCAAAATTCCGAACACAGTTTCCACATTACAAATGCACCGGATTTTTTCCGGAGTATGACAAATGTAGTTGCACACCGCCCCACCTTGAAGCGTAATATTTCTGCAATGTTCACTTTGTTGCCAAAACAAAAGCAATAGCAATTAACTCCACAGATTAATGTTGTACATAATTCACGTAGTACGGAAATGTTTAATTAACACACGACTTGTATCTCACGATTCATTTCAGGCATTGCTGGATTCGGTCCAGTCGGGTCCGCTATTTTGGCACGGCGATTTGTTTGGAAATCGCTGTTACAATTTATTGATCAATTTACCTCTTTCGATCCGAAACTAGTGCCACTCATAATATAAAGTGAAAACTGTTCAGTTTCGGTACACTTTCCTATGCAAACGTCCATCTAATCCACGTAGAACTGCAACCATGAATTACTCGAAAAGTTCAACTTAGACACTCAAGCAAATTTGGGCTTACAGGATAAGTAATAAAAACAATTTGGACAAAATATTTTTTAAATGCTGGCAGTTGAGGCAATTGTTCCGAAATCAGATACCAACTTGCTTCAGAACGTTTTGTTCTGTTGTAGATTGACTAGTGCCGGCAGCTTAGTCAGCCTGCTCTTGCTCTTGAGCGTCCAAAGTGAATACTGACGTACTCCTACTTCTTGGAGCAAAGTCACCTGGCGGAGTGGTTTCTTTCAATTTGATTTTCAGAAGCTCACTCCTGACCCCTGGTTGATGGTCTTTAGGGCCGTTCAAGTATTACGTAAGCAGATTTATTACAATTATTTACCCCCCCCCCCATTCCCCTTGTCAGCAAAAGTAAGCCAAGCTCTTACCCCCTCCCCCCATGCTTACGTAAACATTTGTCAATTAATGTATTGTTTTTTTTAATATTATAATTATAACGTTATAATTATAATTTGAAAAATAAGAAAATAGATTTAGGATAGAGATTATATTTTACTGATACGGTATTCAACATAGAGTAAAGGACAAAAATATTATATCTTACTATTATAACAAACTTATTTTAAATTTTTGGTACATATATTAAATTCAAATTAACAGTCTTCAGTTCATGAAACCCGAATCCATGATTCTAAGTTTTCGATGACATTGGATTGCTTCGATTGCTGCTCAGTGTTGTGAGTTTGCTCACTTTCATCGGATTTTGGAATGTCTACGTCGTTCTCATCGAGCCATTCAACATCATGGTGCTCTAAATTTTGAATAATGCACATCAGTTCATTAGCACGACGAGCAGCGACCCCTAAAGGTCTAACTTTCCTATCAGTGTGCGTGTTTACTTTTTTATGGATATTTTGGATCTGACGATTTAGTGACTTGACGGAAGCATGATAAAGACCGCACGTTTAGCATGTTCGACTTGATAGCCTCAATTTTACCGTCGGACAAAAATAATCGTAGGGCATTTGCCGGAAATCTTTGAATGAAGCTAAATTGACTGGAAGATTAAGAAATTGCCCTCCTTCATCCAAAACCAAGTCATCAACTGTTTGTTTACTTTTACAGGTGGTGGAAGAAATCTATTGTCTAGTAATCTAAATAGGCCAGTTCTTGGACGACAGCATTCTGTATTTCTACATTTTACAATTTGAAGCAAGTATTGGCTCTCACGCACATGTTCTGAATACCATTTAATGTCTGAAAAATCAGGAAGATCTTGTTCACCTGCCCCAACATGTTTTGCATTAACATTATAGCCATCAATTTCCATTGAACTCCATACTTCAGCTAATACATTTCCTGCAAATTCGAAATTAGATCTTTCTAAATGTTCATCAATTGTAACGCCACGTTCATTCAAATGAGACCCAAAATGGTCATGAGGCAATATTAAACCAGCGAGTTCCCGACTAAGAGGAGCCATTCTGCGCTCTACTCTGTTATATGCACTTCTTCCAGAAGCATTCATAGCTAAAAACAATGCATCGAGACCATGTCGCTTAAAGTGTTGTATAGCAAACCCTATGACTTTTTGATAACGTGGATTTTCATCTGGCCCTCCATCAACCGTCATAATTACCACTGGTTTTACTAGTCCATGGTCAGTTTTAGCTAATGGTCGAAACTCTTCAAGTACGAGAAGCGTCTCAAAATCCTGAGAATCGTCTTCTATCATCTGCTGCACTCCCAAATAAAGCTATATCCGCGATTTCTCTCAATAGTGAATGTTGATTGCTTTCAAGATTAGGACGTCCCACTGAATCCCTCAGAGATAGTCTTTTTTTTATTTCTGGATTTTCATGACAAATATCTTCTAAGTTTCTTTTCATATCATCCCTGTGTTTCTTCTGGGCAACTGCGTTTTGAACCTTCCTGTTTAAAGACTGTGAAGTGAGGGGGCAAGTTTGCTCCGGGTTCAGCAGACTCGCTGGTGTAGAGGCTAAAATGATAACACAAAAAAATATCAAAATGTAGCAACCAAACGCCGCGCAATAAGAGTACAATAAAAAGAAAAAGATACTCACTTTTTGGTCCAGGAAGGTCTAGTCCCATGAAGAGATATTCGTCCCGAGTGATCCCAGGTAGGAATAATCCAGTTTTTATAAACCGGTAGAATCGCTACCGGCAGCGAATAATTCACCTTTGCAGATTATGCATTATTTGCCGATGATATGCACATTTCTCAGTGGATGCGGTTTATGATATCCTTCGACCTATATGATAAATCGTGGCAGTATAGTAATTTCCACGAAATGTATTTAGAATCTAGCGTATAATCCGAAAATTGAATAATATTCAGGGTGCGTTATTTAAAATAGTGGACTTTGGCACGTACTGTATAAGGATATAGCAAAACAGGAAAAGCTTAAGTATGCAATAATTATAGTGTAAGCAGCAAATAGACTGTATTTCGAACAATAAAGTCCATTCACTTTGTAGTCAACGGTCAAGTATGTTTTATCAGTCCTGAGACTTGACCATACCTATTTCCAAGTATATCTCATCACCTATTCTATAAGTTGTATGACTGTCTAATGTCAACTTTACGAGCAATCGATTGCTGTAGTTCGTGGGACACCCTGTACTAGCTCGTTTAAATGAAACACAATAGTAATATTATTATTGCTTATTTATTTATGTAGCACATAAATACACAAGGCATCATGAAAAATTAAGTCAAATTTCTATAGTACCACAACTTCAGTCTCAAAGTTTTGTTCGATGAATTTGCCGTAAATAATATTACTATCAATTCTAGAAGTCTGCAATACTTAAATTCAGAGAAAATCTTACGCAATAGCTAAATTCAAGAGATTACACCATCGACGTAATTAAAGTTGTTTTTATTTCCATGGTGTTTAATGAAATTAATAATATGGAAGATATTTCAGTGATTTTCCTAAGTTTACTGATTATAAAATTGAAACCAGGTACCCAGTTCCAGAATAATTAATCTTCCAATATCAAAACACGTTTTACAATAACGTTACATCTTAAACTTATCGTGTGGTTTTCACGCTGATGATTATCCATGTTTTGTGGTCGTTAAATAAAACCACATATGTAGGATTCAATTTTTACTAATGTTCCGACTACCTCGGTGGCCTCGAAGTACAACTAAAAAAAATTATAATATAAGTATGGTAACAGTAGATCAATCTTGCGTTTTTATACAAAACCTACGAAGACCGATTCAGAGGCCTTTGTGCTCTGTCGTACCATTTTTTTTAAATATTATACAATTTTTTGTGGTTCTTTTTTTTTGTCGACTCCAATTGGGATTGGGAATACTGTAAACATATATCAATGTAGCCTTCGAAATTAAAATTTCATCTAAAAAAGCAGCTTGGAATACCGTCTATTGAACTGTTCCTTAGAATAGTAGTTATAGAAATTCCCGCTAATCTCGCTCTTCGTAACCAACTTGATGTCGTCTAAGAATCGGTCGAATCTATCCACTCTGTACAGCGGGTCCTTCCTCAATCTGCACATTCGTTCCGCCCATGTCTGGGCTGGGGGAATGTTTCTCCTCACGCCCCTACAGCGACTGTTCAACGTCTCCATGACGTCATCATAGTAGCTCTTACGGTAGTCGTAGATGCATTTGTACTGCAGGAACCGAGGCCTGAAATAATACCACATTACATCGCTAAGTTTAGAAGCAAGCCATTGTTGGTCGAACATTTCTATCAATAATAGCGTTCTCAAACAAGGTTCATATACAGGGTGTCCCAATAAAAAGCGAGTCGTTTAAGCAGATACCTAGCACAAACTCTTTTATTCGAACAATTCATTAACGATTGACTGCCTTAGGCTGAGATTATTTTGTGTTAGTAAAAGCTATTGTTTTGATAGAAGATTTTATTTCATGTTTAATTACAGGATGTATTTGGTTTTTCTTGAAATGAATAGCAATAACTCAAAAATGTGTGGAAAAAAGTTGTACTCGTATAAGCCTCATGTCAAAAAAGGTTCAACAAGAAAACTGTATAACGATGTAGAAATATAAATTCGAAATTTTTGAGAAAAGGTGCATGTTGCGTTTTGAGATATCCTGTATCAGTAGAAATAAATTCCAGCACTTTTTTCCGATTCTGTCTAAAGTTTGAAGATAATAAAATTTTTGTGAACATATATTTATTTAAATATCTTCAAAAGTGTGGCAAAGCTGCGAGCTGTCAAAGCTGCTGATAAAACTACTTTCCATTTTCGTTGAGACATTTCTACTGTTTACGCTTAGGCAATCAGGGCTACGCCGCCGTGCATCAAGGGCGGCATCGGGAACGTTCGAGACGTTTCCGAAGCATCTAACGCCATCGAGAACCATTGATAGACAAAATTCACCAATATCAAAATAAGAACCCAGGCAGCCAGGCACCACTACCAGAGGAACAGTCAACGGGCAGCTTCCGATGCGTCAACATAGTCTAGTCTTGTAAGGATACTTACTTTATTTATAGTATAGTTCCGTAGTCGCGTAAAATCACAAAATAATGTCACGCAGTCCCGTCCGTCTGTCTGTCGGTCTGTCAGATAATCCTTGTTCCGTCTATAACTTGGGAAGTACTGCTCGGATTTTGATGAAACTATCATACACGGTTACTACTATACCAAGGATGAAAAAAAATCTTTGTAGTTTTTGAAAATCGCTCATGTGGCGGAAGGATAAAACCAAAAACATCTCTTAATCTTCGTTCTTTGACGTTTCACAGGAGTAGGAGTAGGACTAGATCACGATGTTGTCGAATATATGGACTAATTATAAGAGCAGATTTGACAGACATGATCAATTTAATTTCTTTGTTATACATGTTCGTAGTTAACTTTTTTCTATGAGAACTTTTACCGAATATAATCCTTTATAAATTGAGGAGAGCATTGCGTAGGAAGTAGTTGATGCCGCTTTTTCCAAATTAGTATATAGTATATATACTAAGTGACATATAAATCCGAACACCCAGTTTAAATGGTTTTATTTTAATAAAAGTTGGTGAATGTATTTATCTTACTGTAAATAACAAGTGAAAAAATTTTCAGCCTCATCAGTTGGATATTCCGGTTTTTATACTGCATTTTTTTAATTCACTAACGCTCTAAAAATGAATATTTCAGCCGCAGTAAAGAATCAACGTTGGCGGATTTTGGTTCTTGACATCCTTTACGATCGGTTACGATGCCTTAGGGTACGGAGACCTGTACGATTTCGTCAACTTAGTGAGTTTGATAGGGGCCGTATAGTGGGACTTCGGGAAGCTAGACTTTCTTTTCGGGCAATTGCAGTTAGAGTGCAAAGAAGTGTAGACACTGTGGTTAGGTGTTGTCAGGCATGGCTTTGAGAAGGCCGTACGCAAAGAGCAAGGGGCACTGGACGCCGCCGTAGAACAACAGACCGTGAAGATCGCCGCCTAAGATTATTGGCCTTAAGGGACCGTTTCTCCACTACCAGGTCCATTGCAAATGAATGGTTTGCAGAACACGGAAGACCTATTGGCATGCGAAGTGTTTACCGACGAATGAGAACTTTTGGCTTGTTTTCATACCGGCCACACTGGGTGCTCCCTTTAACTCGAGAACACCGGCGTAATCGCCTTGAGTGGTGCAGACAACGCTCACTCTGGGATCAGGAATGGAACAACAGTATTGTCTTTAGTGACGAGTCTCGATTTTGTTTAGGCATGCACGATGGTCGTGCCAGGGTTAGAAGGCGACGTGGTGAAAGGAGGAATCCACAGTTTTTTGTTGAAAGACATGTTCATCACACTGTTGGAGTTATGGTTTGAGGTGCTATAGCCTATGGTTCCAGGTCACCTTTAATCTTCATCAGAGGTAACATGAACGCGCAGCGTTATATCCACGAAGTTCTAGAACCCCATCTTTTACCCTATCTTGACACCCTGGCAGATCCAACTTTCCAACAAGATAATGCCCGACCACATGTTGCAAGAGTCACAATAGACTTCTTTCAACATAATGATGTCACATTGTTACCATGACCACCAAGATCTCCCGACTTATCCCCAATTGAGCACGTGTGGGATATGATGGGTAGGAGATTGCTCAATTTGCAAGGTCCTCCTCAGACTCTAGAAGCACTTCGAGAGGAGTTGGTGGTTGCCTGGAATGAGATACCACAGGAGGACATTGACCACCTGATCAGAAGCATGCCTAGGCGCGTTGGAGAATGCGTAGCACATCAGGGTGCATCCACACATTATTAAAGGTCAAAGGGCTTTAAAGCAGTGCAATCATTTTGAAATTTTTATCATTTACTTATTATGCTTCATTAAGTACTTATAACAAAATTTTATTAAAATAGAACTATTTAAACTGGGTGTTCGGATTTATATGTCACTTAGTATATATATATATATATATATATCTATTATATATAGTATATATTATATATAGTACAGTATATATACAGGGTGTTTCAGTTTATTGTTGCATAACTTTAAGAATACGTTAGAACTTTTAAAATTAATGCATAAAGTCTATAAAAACATGGGTCGAAAAATGCGTGGCTTTCCAGAAACTCTCCTAACACTTGTGGCCGGATCTCTATCAAACTCACGCAGAATCATACGGGTAAATCTGCGCTGACGAACATTTATGTTTTGAACCCTTTGGAGATTTCCAAAACCATTTTCAATTATTTGGCGATGCACTCTTACAAATACTGAGCGAGTTGGATGTCGTCCGTTTGGAAATCTTCGTGCGTATTCTCTGGCTGCTTCTGCTGCGTTTCCATTTACAAAGCCATACACAAAATGAATATCAGCTAACTCTTGATTGGAGAATTAAAATGGCATTTTTATGAAACAGGTAAAAGAAACTAAATTTCGTGTATTCACAATTACAAGAAAACGTTTCAGGTTTCAACAGACAACAACACTAACTATCAACTAATTGACGTTTAACCTTATTCTGCTTTCAATTTCAAAAATATTTGCAGGCACAGCCTACTTCTAAAAATTATAGAGATACTGACTTTTTAACGTTATTTTATCATAAATAATTAAAAATGCATCGAACCTTAAAAAGCGAAATATCTCAAAAACGGCTAACTATAACGAAACTTCACAAGAGAGCTTTTTTATGTTGAAAAGTGCGAAGAATCAGTTTTTTTATTCAAAGTGCAAAAAATTGCACTTAGAAAAACTTTTCGGTCATTTTAATACACTACAGGTACAGTAGAGAGCGCCCTCTAGCGGCTATAATAAAGCTATGCCCCTGGTTCGTTTTGTCGTACCAGAAAACCCTTGTATCCCAATTTTCACTGTTATACATCAAATATTGTTCGAAATATTTAAAAAAAACTATTTTAGAAAGTAAATTTAAACACCCTGTATTTCGGAAGTCACGCATTTTTTGACCCATGTTCATATAGACTTTATGCATTAATTTTAAAAGTTCTATCGAATCTTAAAGTTATGCAACAATAAACTGAAACACCCTAATTAGTAAATTGATAATGAATCTTCAGTAAGCGAGATATACTAATAACAGAACATCATCAGAGTATTAAAAGCTTTATTGAATATCCATAATAGAGTTCACGGAACTTATCAAAATAGAGTCACTAAACCATAAACACTGCTAGTGTAACAAAGGCGAAAAGTGTCGGTCGAACACATTTTTCGTATGGTAATAGAAGAAATCTCCACTTCGTTTAGTCTTTTCAGCCAGTGCCAGGTCTTCTTGGGTCTTCCGCTGCTGCTGTCTGGAGAGCTTCCTGTTCATCCTGATCACCCGTTCGGGCCATGTCTCGGCGTGCGGGATTTCCCTCGGCATTCCTCGGGCGCGCTTCTCTAAGTAATCCATGACGTCATCGTAGTAGTTTTGACGATAGAGATAGAGGTACCTGTACGGCAGGAATTTTGGCCTGAAATAGGGAAACGATGGAATTAGTTTCTAAAGATTTTTGAGTATACTAAAGCAGCCGCGCAGGCAGAAGTCGAAATACTGGGTCACCGCGACTGTTATAAGTGGCTAAAAGACATCTTGTTAATCCGAGCATTGTACTACCTAAGGTTAGTAGAATTGGGATAAGCCTCCTCAGGCATTGTTCCACAATCTTGACATCATAGTGACAAAGAAGCGGTCGTACTAGCCAGCTCTATATGAACGGAGTTCGACACAGTTAGAATGAGAGATGGACGTCAGGCGAGTCTGTCTAGTAGGCTCATCGCGCGGCGGCATCATGTATGAAAGCTCTGAGATCGCCAAAGGCAGGCCGGTATGAAAGGGTCCCGAGACTGCTGTTTACCTTCACATGCCGTATCTTTTCATCTAATCGCTGATTTTGCATGCGTTGGGAATACCTGAATGGTACTAAAAAAGCAAACTCTCATTAGTTTGACTGCTTGAGCCTCAAATTTTATTTTATCGCGCTGCTATGAGGATCCCAAAAAAATTTTGTTAATCCGATTTTCGAAAGGCCTAAGGTTAGTAGAACTGGGAAAAACTCCCTTTTGTAGATTATTGACATTCTCACTCTATACCAGGCCCAGATAAGGCCTAGCCTCGAGTATTGCTCACACGTTTGGGGTGCTGCCGCCCCGACTACATTATCCATGCTCGATGCTGTCCAGAGGAGGGCGGTCCGACTTATGGATGACTCTTCTC